AACTCTTTGCGACACAGGTAATTCTTAACCAAAAAAAAAAAAATCTTCATGAACTTCTATAATGAAGGTCCTAATTATTTTTTGAATTTCTATTAAGATTAGTACTGTAATCTACATCATATGCGCGCAGCACTAATCTTACGATTTTAAAATCGATAGAAAACTCGTTTGGCTTTTGTTTTATTTTAAGTTTGCTGATGTTGGCATCTTTTTTTAAGCATGTGTGATATTAGGGTTACGTTTGGGACGGCATTAATGTATACAAAAATTGAAAAGCTGTTTTAAGGAACGGTAATAATGTCGTCCCAAAAGAAGTCAAAGTGAAGTTTCATTAAAGGTTTTGATAGGTTTTTTTTTTGTTGTTGTCAAAGGTAGCGGCAATGATTGACACCCAAAGATGGCGAGCCAGGGTTGTTTTTATTAAGGGTGTCAATTTCGGGTCACGGGTCGGGTTCGAGTCGAATCCGAAATTGACCCGACACTTCGGGTTTGGGTCGACCCGATCCATTTTTGCAAACGGGTTGATTTTCTAGATCCAAACCCGACCCGCTTCGGGTCGGGTCAACCCGAACCCAACCCGGTTTTTCAAACGGTTCGATTTTCTGGACTTGAACCCGACCTGCTTCGGGTTCGGGTCAACCCAAACCCGAAATTTTTGGGCCGGGTTTTCGGGTTGGGTTCAATATTGACAGCTCTAGTTTTAATTTTAAAAATAATAAAGTCTTTTAAGTTTTATTTGGGATAGTTTTTTGCTACTTGTTAAAGCATTTTTTTAGAACAAAAATTTTATGAAAATAAGAAAAAAAAAATAGTGACAAAAAATCTGTCCCAAAAGAAGCCTTATAAAAATCACCTAAAAGTTGTTTTTTACTAAGTTAAAGAAAGTTAATTTATTTTCAAAAATAAAAATAAAAAGTAGAAAACATACCAATCAGATATGCTTTAAAAAAAGTGATAAACAGCTCCTATGGTTGTTTAAAAAGTATCTATGATTACAGAAATTATTACGTGTGATCATCGGACGGTCCAAAAATAAATCGAGATACGTCACGTCATCCGACACACAACATCGCTATACAAAAAAAACTGATGTGACGCATCCTGATTTGTCTCTTGACGCCATCCAATGACCGCACAAAATAATTTTTTTTGGGACATTTAGGCCATTTAAGGCAAACTCACACACACAACGCATACACATAGACTCGAACCCTGAACCTATTAGTTGGAAGCCAAAGCTCTCAACCAATAGGCCAAGAAGAGTTGTGTACACAAAATAATTTCTCCCATGACTAAAGCTTCATTTGAGACATTTTCTTACTGTTTTCTTAAGCAACGTTTTAGTGCCAAATTTATAGTCCAATTTTTTTTTTTTACCTAAAAAATTGTTTTAAAATATAAAAATGGTCCCAAATAAAACCTTAATGATTAGAGAATATTAAATTTCTCTATTACAATTTTTTACCGCTCATCACTAAAAAATCAGTCAATTTTGTAGCTCTAAGATTAATTCGTTAAAATTATCATTTATATGTAGTTAATTATGCTATGCAATTATCTCTCTAGATTGAGTCGATTTGGGTTTGATTTGAACTTGATTTTGGCCAAATTTGTTCAGCCTAATTCCAATTGAGGCTTCGTTGGCTTTCTAAACTCATTTGAATTTAGTAGATCAGAAAATAGAACTACGGTCTTGATTTGCCTTCGAAGTCTGTAATTATCAGAAGTGGCGGTCTCGTGAGGAGGCTCCTCTGATCGCCTTGAGCAAATTTTTAGGCAGGATGGAACCATTTATTTCTACGTTAGAGGGAGACAGAGGATCGTCCCTCGAGCGACAGAGGACATATGCCTCATTCCTTTTCCCTTGTTCAGCCCGCCCTAGGCAATGGATTCAAATACTCCCCCTCTCTCGGTCTCTCAGGGGTGTTCGCTTAAGCTAGGGTAAGAACCGAAGCCCTATCTTTCTCCCTCTATCCCGTTCGGAACAAGAAGAGCCGAAGCTCTTCGGCCTCCTGGTCTCCCCATCCGTGAATCTCAGGCGGGATCCTCTCTCTCTCTCTCACTCTAGCCAGAGCCCGAACTCCTCCTCTCCGTCCTTCTCTGGGTTCGCAGAAGCAAGGGGGGCAGGAGCCCCTTTCGTTTCTTCTGTTTCGCGAACCCCAAACGGGGCCGACCTCCCGTCTCCCTTCCTCTCTCCCGGGGCTGCTGTTCGCGAGCCCTAGAGAAGACCGACGCCAGCCTCCTCCGTCACCTTTGGGTTGGACAAGGCCGACTCCCTGCTCCCGTAAGCCCTAGTTCTCGTCCGTCCCTAGTTACTGAAACTTCTTCTCCGATCCTTCTTCCCGCAGGTAATCACTTCCCCATTTTCTTCTTCTTCTTCTTCTCCTTTCCTTTATCTTATTTCTCTTTTTCTATTTCTTCTTCATGATGTAGGAAACTATAGCAGTAATGCTTGTTTCTGTAAGTAGTTAGTTCATGTGTAAACAAAGTAAACAATTCATTTGTAAATGTTTCATATGCTGATATAGGTTATTTAGAAATGAACAGTTGGTACATGGAGTTGGTATTTTGCTTATGATTCATATCATGAAACTCAAAGTTTTATTTATAGGTTGTGAAAAATAAGGACAAGTCATGTTATTCTTTGTTAAAACGAAATATATGCACTCAAAGTGTTTGTATTTTTGTCTCTTTGGAAATGGCATAAATATTTGATCAAACAATAATGATTGGAAAGCATATTTATACCTTAATATGATGTGAAGACTATGAATATTTTCGTACTAACAATTTGTGTATGATATTCATAAACATTCTCGAATTGCAAAAATACTATTTATATTTTATTATGAGATTGGATTTTCATTTATAATAGAGTGATAGTTTTATATTTCATGAAACATGTTTTAGATCAACACTTTGTATCTATGCTTTGGTCGCATGCTTGGCTTATTTATTTAAATGAATACCTTTGCTTTGGATGAATTATTTCATGAGATGAATAGAAAGCTTAGGTTGATTTATATCGTTTGGGAATAAACTTTTGATACATGAGATTTGTTTAATTTTATGAGTGGATGGTAAAGTTTTGTTAGAAGATGTGTTATCCTCTAAAAGAAAAAGGGTGCGAGCAAAATATTATGATAATGTCTATTTAAGAAAAAAGGGGATTGATGGAAGATAGTTAGCATAATCTTTTCGGAGACCCACACTATTGACTTTTTAAATAAAAATTAAATGATTTATTTTGCGTTTGGATGATTTAAGCCCCGCTTTAAAAAGTCAAATGATTAAAATGAGACTTTTAAATAGTTGAATCATTTTGATCCTTCATAAAGAGTCAAATGATCATTTTGATCATTATCATTATTTTTATATGATTTTTTTTTTTAAATATAAGCCATTAACAATTTTATTTCTTTGTCAGAGAGCAAGGATACTTTCAGCAGATCTCTATTCGTAGTTGGAGAAATAGGTGGAAATGATTACAACCATGGTTTCCTACAAAGTTGGTCCGTTGAAGAAGCCAAATCTTTGGTTCCTCATGTCATCAACACAATTAGTACGGCAATTAATGTTAGTATTTACTTTGCACTATGATAGTTAGTTTATATATTTTGAAAATATTATAATTTCTCAATAGCTTTCTATTGTTGTTTGTGTGTATGTTTCCCTATAATGATTTTCTCTTAATTTTTAGATAACTCTTTTCTTGATTTTATATGTATGAATGGATCAATCAACCAATCTCCCATCCTACTAAAATAGAAATCAAGTAGGCCATCCACCATATTCTAAACTCTTACATTTCTCGTAAGTGATGAGATTGATGACTATTAATGATTAATATCTAATATTTATTAGTCATCAAGGTCCTATGTCCATCACCTACAAAAGATTTTGTAACAGCCTACATTTTGCACTATTAAGATTTTGTCCGCTTTGACCTAAGAGTCTCATAGATTTGTCATGTTGGTGTAAATTTTCAATATGTCAGCTATCCTAGAATCGCTCCGAGATGATCATGCTTAACTGTGGGGTTTCAATTACAAAAAAATGCCTCAATTTTTAAGAGTTTATTTCTTTTACTTAAGGGGTTTCAGAGTTTTAATGTCCGTCGTCATTCCAATTATATGATCATTTGACAAGATAAAATTTCTTTGAACCCTAATGAATGATACAAAATGAATAAGATCATTTGATTTTGAGCATTCTGAACTCATCTTTTTTATTGCCAGGATTTAATTGATATGGGGGCAAAAACTTTGTTAGTTCCTGGAAACTTCCCAGTAGGATGCATAGCAGCATTTCTCACATACTATGAGAACTCAAAAGTAGAAGACTACAATACGAGCACAGGCTGCATTAATTGGTTGAACGAGTTCTCAGAGTATCATAATAATATTCTCAAGCTGGAGCTCAATCGTCTTCGCTATATTCACCCCCACACCACCATTATTTACGCTGATTACTTCAATGCAGTTATGAACATCGTTAGCCCTGCAAATAGCACAAGTGAGAAATTGTTTTATTTTCACTTAACTTATTTGGCCTTCATTAATGCTCCGTTTGGGACGGCTTTCTTTTTGCTTCTTAAAGCTTTTTTTTTAGTACAAAAATTTTAATTTTTATACTAAGAAGATGCTTTAAGAAGCAATAATAAAGCTGTCCCAAACGAAGCCTAAGATCCAACATATATCAACTTTCTATTGCAACATCTACCTTAAATATTTGTTGCAGGGCTTGAAAGAGTACCTTTAGTTGCATGTTGTGGTAGCGGCGGTGGTCGATACAATTACGGAAAGAACACAAGTTGTGGAAGCGAGAATTCAACCGTGTGCGATGACCCGTCGACTTATCTTAGCTGGGATGGCATGCACTTTACAGAGGCAACATATAAGTCCATAGCCAAGGGAATCCTGGAAGGGCCTTTTGCTGATCCTTCTATCAATAAGGCATGTAGTTCTTCCAATATTGGATATGTGGTAAAAGAACTTGCAATTAATGTTTCCAAAGCAGATTAGAGGAGAAAATTTTGTATAAAAAATGTATGTACGTACTAAGGGATCCTATTGCAGTAAGTAGGCTTTCAAAAAAGATAAAAATTGAAGCTTTGTATGGGGTAGCTTTCATGCATATTGCTTTTTAAAGCAAGTTTTTAATAAATTTTTTTTTAAATTATAAATTTTTGTTTAAAAAAAAATGTTTTAGAAAGCACTAAAAAAACTGTTCTAATTAAAGCCTGAATTTGATTGTGTTAAGAAGTCCTATTTTAATTTTTTACTTTGACAGTAATAAAAAAATATTAAATTAAGGGAATGATTTGTTGAAATG